GTTAAAATCTTTAATAAAACTTATTATGGATATATTTCTACAGATACATACAAATTGTTTCTTCCAGTAAAAGTAAGAAATGTTCCTTTAGAAACCAAAGAACAAGTCTCTATAATGGTTAAGGAAGCATTTAAAAATTTTGGAAAAATCACCTTGATTAAACTATTACTTATCAAAGATACTTCTTATATAACAGACCAATGAATTGTTATCTTTGATAATACAGAAGAATTTGAACTAGAGCAAAAACTCCTTTGCTTTACATTCATTAAAGATAACAGAGTTATGACTGAGTAGAAGGAAGTGCCAAAAGTATGCTACTTCTGCGATCAAACAGGTCATATTAAAAAAAACTGCTTGCAATTTTAAGAGACAAAGAAATTAAGACAACACTTTCAAGAACTTAAAAACAAAAAAAAGAACCTAGTCAAGACTTTAGAGGAGATCATTACAGAAAATTTAATGAATACAGACAAGAAACATGCTACAATGCAAGAAACAGCAGAGAATGATATTGCAGAGACAGTACTTAACCAAGAACAGACAACTGAACCAGAAAAGAATCTTGTTATGAATAACATGGATGCTGAAATAGAACTACTTGCAGAAAATGAGCTTAATATAAATGATTGTCCTACTAACTCAGTCTTAGAGAATGTGAACATGAATTAGGAGGATGACCATATAGTTAATCAGGAAAATACTGAAATGCAGCATTTATACTAGTAGTAAGAAAAAGAAGAAAACACAAAGATACAAAACTCTACAGCATAGTGAACAAAAAAAACCAGAATAATGAACCAAAACAAAGAGCATGAGGAAGCTCTAAAAATTATTAATTCTTTTTATGAACAATACATCAATCAAAATCACTACTTTAAATGTCAAAGACTTAAATAATTCAGACAAATAACTTAGAACATTAATATTGTTAAAATTATACAAACTAAATATCATTCTTTTACAAAAACAAACATTTTCAATATTACAACACAGTAATTTTTGAAAGATCAATAGTCCTTTGATTTAATCTAAATAGGCAGAACAGCAATGCTAGCAAGAAACAAGAAGATAAAGTTTCAGGATACCAAAAGATTTCATGAAGACAGAATTATCTCAACTTGTTTCATTTTCAAAAAATTTTCTTTTTATATAATCAACACATATGCACCACTAAATGCTCTAAATAGAGCTGCATTCTTCAACAAATAGAATATAGACAAAAAACAAAACATGATCAATATTATAGCAGGAGACTTAAACACAAATATAAATCCAGAAATAAATAGAAAAAGTCAAGCAATTGCTCAGAATGATCCCTCAAAATACTTGCTAAAAGAAATTATGAAGGACTACATCAACTCAGCCTCTTTTTTTTCACAAAACCCTTCTTTACTTTTCATTAAAAAACATATAATGATCAAATAATTGCCACTTGATTAGATTATATATTTATAGATAAAAGCTACAGTTACTTAAATCAGAAACAAAAACTAAATATGGCAACTCAGACTATTTTTTGGTCAACTGCACTTTAAATCTAAAACAGGACCCTAAGCACTCAGCTATCTAGAGATTTGATCTAAACTCTTTTAAGAACAGCCTACTAAAGAAAGAAGTATTTGAAGAAATCTAAGATGTGACCTCTGCAACAAACTAGGATATGCATAAAATCTATATTAAATCGATTATAAAGGCCTTCAAGAAATCCAAAGCCCCAGAAGATAAAATAGAAAAACTAAACAAGAAAGTTAGTCAATTAAAAGAAACATTAGCAAAAACTCCTAATCAGGCACACCTTTTCTCAATATTAAATACATTAAATTCACAAATTCAAACTAAACTAAAAGAATTGGCAAACAGATGGCAATGCCAATCCAAAACAAACTGAATAGAATTAGGAGAAAAATCTACTAAGTACTTCTATTCATGTTTCAAAAGTAGAAGCTCACATTCAATGACAACAGAAATACAGATATCCTCAACACAAAAACAATACAGTAATAAGAAAATCCTTAATTACATTAAGGAACAATATATTAAAATTTATAGCAAAGAAAACATCAATAATGAAATAGCAGAACAAATTACAAATGAGCTTCCACAAGTATCAACCCACATGAATAATAAGCTGACAGATTATATTACTCAAAAAGAAATCTCAACAATTATCAGATCATTACCAAATAACAAATATCCAGGACTGGATGGTCTTACTTATAAGTTTTATAAACTCATAGAAGAACAGATCACACCAGTACTAGAAATAATTTTTAACCAGGTATTAAACACAGGAACAATGTCCTTATCATGGTATAAGAATCTAATTACACTAATTCCAAAGAAATCAGAAAAGCTGCATAATATAAATAATTGGAGACCAATATCTTTAATGAATTGTGACACAAAAATTTTTATAAAAATCATGGCAATTAGGCTGAATAGTATTTGCAAAACAATAATACTCCAGTATCAACAAGGTTTTATTGCAAAAAGATTAATTACAGACTTAGCAATGGACATTCTCACAACTCTAAGAAACCAAAGGGATTATGTTAAAGAACATTGGATGCTTTTGGTAGATCAACAAAAAGCTTTCGATAAAATAAGTCATGAATTTCTGCAAATAGTACTAAAAAAAATAAATTTCAATAAAAGATTCAGAGATCTGGTAAAAAAACCTATTTACTTGACAAGAAGCTTACATCTTGAACCCAGAAAACATCTTAAGCCCCTTCAAAGTAGAAAGAGGAGTTAGACAAAAAGATCCTCTCTTGCCTCTGCTATATGTTTTTACATTTGAACCATTACTAAACTTAATAAACAACAAAATAACTAGAATCAAAATCAACAACCAGTCCTTCAAATCTGCTGCTTATGCAAATAACTTAACAGTTGGCATTAATTCATCTACAGACTAGATTATATTGCTAAATCTATTTGATAAATATGAAAAAGTCTCTAATGCAAAAATCAACAAGCTTAAAACAAGCTTAATGCCACTTACTAATCTGGCAAAAAGTATAAAACTTCCAGAGGAAACTCAATTCTAAAAACTAGAAAAGCAAGTGTATATCAAAGTACTAGGTTATAACATTACATCAGAAGGTACACCTAAAAAAAACCTATAGCAAAAAGCAATAAACAAACTTAAAACAAATTTAGATAAATTGGTTAACAGAAACCTATCACTAAAAGAAAAAATAATGTTAGCAAACTCATTACTGTTTTCTAAAATTTGGTATGTCACCTATCTCATGCCACTAAACAAAAAACAAATAGCAGAAATTAACAGAATTATCACATTTTAGATTAAAAACAACTCTAAAATGTTATCATAATATTCTATTTTTCAACAATCCTATGAACTAGGAAGACTACAAGCACCAATAATTGGCAATATGTTAGAAGGTAGGCTAATTTTAGTCTGGACTAAACTAATTTCAAGTAACCTACTATGGGCTAAAATAGAAAAAAAATGAATAACTCTCCTACTCAAACAAAAAAAAATATCACAGCAAAAGAGATTCTTTCTACACAGCTTATTAAGTCAAAAGCCTAACCTACAGAATAGAAAACCTATTTGCTGTTATGAAAAAAAATTAATGAAAAAATTCATTCAGATTCGGACTGATTATAAAACCCTATTGACCTAGAAATCAATGAAAAAAAATACCAAAAGTAACAGTTAAACTTATAGTTGAACTTTTAAGAAAACATAAAACCAATTCAACAAACTAAACTAATACTACAACACAACCTCAAGACTGCAACTGGATCTTTCAAAAAACAATTCTAAATAAAAAAAAGAATATATTCTGACATTTTTTTCATAAAACCTTATCTTTAGAATACAGACTTCATCACTTCATACCAACAGACTCAGGTGAATGTTTATGATGTTCAAACACTATACAAACTATTGAACACTTGGCAGTAGAATGCAGAATTAGCAAAATGATCTAAACAGAAATCTACAAATTCTTAAAAACCAACCAAACAAAAATCATTCCAGATTCAATAGATAAAATCTTCTTAAAAGAAATTTTAGAAAAAACCAAAACATATAACATGATCCTGTGGTTACATACACAAGCTATCTATGAAATCTGATGCTGTTATGCAGCATATAAATAGAGTGAATTATAGTATTCAGAATCAGCAATTGCTGCTATAACAAGAAACAGAATCTCTAAAAAAATTGGTTTACTTCAAACCAAAACCTTAGTCAAACCAATTTATAAGAAAATCTATAAATATTTAGTCTAGAACCCCTAATGTGTAAATAATAATTCTGTAAATATATTTAATAATAAAGAGCACCACACACACCCCATGATGCTTCACCTGGAATAGTTAAAAAAAAAAAAATTTCATTAAAGTTGATTTAATAATTATTAAGATATTTTAATTTAAAATTTTAAAAAAACTCACTAAAAATAATTTGCTTGGTTTTATTGACACATCCTCATATGTCAAAAATTTTTAATTTTTTATTTTTTTTTAAAAAAAATTAACCAACTTTGAGATTTTTTTAAACAATATATATATATTAATTTTTTTTATCAATATATTCTATAAATCTTCAAATATCAAATATATCTATTCAATTGCAAATTAATATGTAAAATTTTATATAATTACATTTTAATTCAAATGTATCAAATTGGTATATCACACTTAATAAGATGACCAATATTACCAATAGTGTAGAATACTTATATCCATTAAATAAATTTAAACAATAAATATTAAACTAACAACTTCAAACAAAAAAATATTTATTTGTTTAAATTCAAAGTTTTCTTATTTAAATTTTATAAATTCATATAGAAAATTTTTATAAGTTCAATTAAATGATTGCTACTCAAACTTTTAAAATCATTTTGCTGGATGAAAAATATCAAAATGGGGTACGAATGTCGACCCCTTAATTGTAATAAGCGTTTGAAGATAGAAACGGCGGGAAAAATTTTTTTAATAAGTAATAAATAAAGCTATCATTGAAGCTTATAATCCGTTAAACTCCAAATTTTGCCTAGTATGAGGTCGCCTTGCATTTAGTGCCAAATAATGATTTGTGGAATATATGCTAGTTTTACCTCGCGCGAGGTAGATCTCTAGTTCGGTCCATTCGTCCCAATTTCTTCAAGTTGTGCATAAACTCTGTGCCCATCATGTTCTCTTAACCTAACATAATCAATCCACTTTTAAAGAAATAGTTGAACAAATTAATATAAAAATATGAAATGATCCACATGCAAGATAATAACACAATAAACACACCAAGCCATAATGGTATCCTGAATGATGGTAGATTTTGAGATGAACGTCATGATATACCATTCTACCATCAACAATTTTTCGCTCAGGTATAACAATTTTATAGGGTAAACAATACTCGACCCATTCGTTTTTGCTGGCAAGATTGGCGTACATTGTAGGTTGTGGAATGTGACTATAATGTTGTTTATCATGAATAGCAGCTTCAGCATCAATTTCATCCTCTAACTGTTTATATATTAAATGTGTGAGTGTTACAACTATAAAAGAAAAATGAGACTTTTAAGAATATCGACTTACTCTTTCAATAACAGTTGTGCAGAAGTTTAAACCTTGAATGGCCCAACGATATGATTCAATCTTTAATCGCCATACAACGTCGTATGTACCAGGTAGAATGGACTTTAGATTCGACGAAACCTTTAGAATTTTTGTTTTTTTTTAGAACGATTGTAATTAAAAATTGCTTTATCACAAGTTAGGAAAATATTATACTCACATCAAACCACCAAACAGATCTTAAATAAACAACTTTTCCAAATTCGCTATTTAAGCAATACATGTAAATGAATACACAACAAAAAATGCAGAGAATGTTAAATGAAGGCCTACTCACCTTCGCGAATCTTCGAGGGTTCGCCAATGGTGATTATTTCCTCCTCCCTCTTGACAATCTAACCAGATGACGCCCCGTTCTTCGGCAATAAAATTAATATGCCTGGCTGTGTATAATAATTGTTTGGTTATTAAGAATAGAAAATAGATATAAACTATTATCTGAGCTTGTTACCGATTGGAGATGTAAATAGCTTGTATATTAATTATCTTAATTAATAGGCCAATTGCATCTCCACTATCAATTAAATTTGTATGCATTTGTATCGGAACTTGTAGAGTACTAAAAGATCCGTACAATAAACATGGCTAATGACTTACATAGCCTCCTGTAAAGTCTTTTCCATTCACTACGTTCACTAACGTTTACATCGTTATTACTTGTTACTGAAGGAGTATTCAAAACTAGATTTGCTACATTATAAAAGTTATTTAAAAATAAAATTTTTAAAATCAAAATTTAAGAAAAAAAAAACTTTTACCTAAGTTAGAAATAATGGTTCCAAAAATATTTTGATCTGATCGGTTTTCTGACTCGTTTGTACTTTGAACTCTCAAAGTGGCCTCCTTTGCGATCATATTCTTTCGTTCCTCAGAAACATGACTTGCAGGAAATTGATTAATACAAATTGATTGCCAAACGTAATCATCTTGGATGAATGATAAAAGATTTTTGTTAACCTAAGATCGATAGGAAAAAAAAATAAGAATGCAGTATAAATATTATTTGTATCAACGCTGAATCAATATATTTATAGAAACTTAGTATACCAAAGAAATGGAACAAAGATCTTTTGCAGGTAAAAAAGTAAGGATCTTCACTACAATTTCGTAAGGAATTTCAGAAAAGATGTCTGACATTATTATTTGAAACTTATCATCATGGTAGTCGAGATAGTAGGCGTATTTATGAGATGGGCAAAGCAACAATTGAGGACTATTCCATATTTGGGGCGGAGCGAATTCGATGTAAATCAATTGCCCGGGTAACTAGAGACACCGGACATATGCGGTCACATAATAGACACATAAAATGTGATGAATTTTTGCTAAATTTAGGTTTTTTATGTCGCATTATGTGGTGCATTTTAAGTGAATAATAATTGCATTATTTGTAATTATCACAATTATCACAATAGTAATTTACTTTATCACGGCTCCTTTTGTTGTAATTGTTATGTAATTGTTATGATATTGATATGAATAAAGTATTTTGAACGTTATGTAATTGTTACGAAATTAATTTAAGACTTCGAACGTTATAATTTTCTGTCTAATTTTAACGATGGGAAAAACCAAGTTTACAGTTTTAGAACGTGTAAATTCTGACAACTATAAAGATGATTTTTATGAATCAAATAATCAAATGTTTTGTATCGCTTGCAAACGTGCTGTCAATCATGCTAGAAAATCTGTAATTGACAACCACCTTAATTCGGCATCACATCAAAAAAGAAAACATTTTATAGAATCATCAAATACATCAAATAATATGAATCAACTGGATATAAAAAAACAGCATATTAATATAGCATTAGCTAAAGCATTCGTAGAAGCTGACATTCTATTGGAAAAAATTAATAAATTACAAAATTTTTTTAAAGAATATTGTATTGAAGGTAAATTAATTAATTTATTATAACTTAAATCAAAAATTTTAATTAAATATATAATTTTTAATTTACTGTAAGAGATAAAGTTGTTGGCACAAATTAAATGCATGAATATTATCTTTCTCAAATTTTTCAAACTGAAATATATGAATTAAAAAATATTTTAGTTGATCAATGTATTTCAATAATAATTGACAAAACTACTGACATTTGTGAACATAGTGTTGTTAATGTTCTATTTAGTTTTCAAGATCAAACTAAATTAGTAAAAACTGAATACTTAGATCATGTTAACCATTTTACAATTTCACAGTTAATTTTGTCTGCTTTAAATTTTTATAATATTTCTTTATTCTAATATTATTTTATTTATTAGTGACAATGTAGCATATATGAAAAAAACTTATTAAGATTTTTTAGTTCAGTTAATGCCTCAAATATAATTGTTGTTTTGCTTATATTTTAAGTTTAGTTGAAGATTGTTGAATATATTTTAATTATTTTAAACTTTTTAGATATATAATTACAAATATCAAAGAAGTTTTTTCTTATTCTTCTATTCGTAAAAAAAGATGGTTAAATTTTTTTTTTTTGACTATTGCTTTATTAAATTCTTCTAATTCATCTTTAGAACCATCTTTAGAATCTTCTGAACTTAATATACAATTACCTTCATTATTTATAAAAACCCATTGGAATAGTTGGTTTAATTTTGTTATTTGAATAATATTATATTTTTTATATTTGGATCAATTTTTTATTATAAAAAATACACTTTATGATCTTTTAAAATCCATTAAAAAATTAGCTGAAACTTTTTCGAATCATGAAAATATTCCTATTATTGAGATGATTATTGAATTTATTACTTTAAATACTCAACAGTAAGTATAATATGTATAATAATTATTTTTATATATATATATAGGCTGTATTGTTATTTCTGATACATCATATTTTATAAAATAAATTAAAAAACTTATTAATAATATTAAATCTAATAACTGTTATTTAAACTATACTTTTAGAATTGTATATACTATAATATTAAGGTTTAAAAATAAATTTATTATATTTTAATTAAATA